TTGACGAGGTGATCCAGTCATACGGGTTCACTCAATGTCCGGATGAGCACTGCGTTTACAAGAAAATCAGTGGGAGCGTGGTGGTGTTTTTTGTGCTTTACGTAGATGACATACTTCTTATTGGAAACAATAAGAAAGACTTATCAGACATAAATGTGTGGTTGTCTAAGTAGTTTGATATGAAGGATTTAGGAGAAGCATGACAATTTTTGGTATTAGGCTCATTAGAGACCGTAAGAAGGGAATGATGTGTTTATCCCAGTCTTCATACATAGATACTGTCTTGGCCAGATTCAGCATGCAGGATTCCAAGAAATGTATGTTACCTTTCAGACATAGAATATCTCTATCTAAGGAGATGTCTCCTAGAACGTCTGAGGAGATAGAGGACATGAAGACAGTTCCTTATGCTTTGGCAGTAGGAAGTCTTATGTATGCAATGTTGTGCACTAGGCCGGATATTAGCTACGCCGTTGGCATGGTAGCTAGATATCAAAGTAATCCGGGACGAGAACATTGGTCTGCGATGAAGCATATACTCAAGTACCTGAGAAAGACTAAGGATTACATGTTAGTTTACAGTGCAGACAACTTGTTACCTCTGGGTTACAGTGATTCCGATTTCCAGTTAGATAGGGATGAAAATAAGTCAACCTCAGGTTATGTGTTTACCTTGGGAAGTGGAGCGATTTCATGAAAGAGTGCTAAGCAGAAATGCGTGGCAGACTCCACCATGGAAGCCAAGTACATAGCAGCCTCAGAGGCAGCAAAAGAGGCAGTTCGGCTCAGGAACTTCTTAGTGGACTTAGAGGTTATACCGAGTTTGCCACGATGTATCACCGTGTACTGTGATAATAGTGAAGTAGTAGCAAACTCAAGGAAACCTTGAGCCCACAAAGCAAGCAAACACATAGAGCGCAAATACCATATGATTCGGGATATCGTTGGTAGAGGAGACGTTGATGTTGCCAAGATTGCGTCAGAGGACAACCTAGTTGATCCTTTCACGAAGAGTTTGTCAGGGAAGGTCTTCGTCAAACACGTGGAAGGAATGGGAGTCATGAGCATGGCAATAGGATCGACATAGGTCTTTTAGAATAACAAATTGATAGAACTATACTGTAAAAGCAAAAGCTTTAAGTATAAGTGGGAGATTGTTAGTGTTATATACTGAAAGTTTGGCTTTGCATGTTATTACACATTTGCCCTTTATGAATGAGAATCATTTTAGATTAAACAAGTTCTACGTTCTGTTGTTCTGCACTTAGATAGAGTGGGTCGTCATCGGGCGAACCGAAGATCACTCTATCAGTTACTTGCGAACAAGAATAGTTGTTCACGACCTAGATGGACATGAACACCCCATCCGAACGGTTGTAGTGTCAACTGTACAGTTTGTCTTGACTGATTAGTTACACTAGTATATTTATGTATTGAACAGGATCCCAGAGAGGAAAAGTTCATTTTATACTGATCGTCGTAAATGAACTAGGCCTCGGTTAATTACTGCGTTCTCTTAACCCATAAGATATTAAACATTCAGATATATAGTATATATTACTTTGATTCACTTGGATGAGGTCCAGTTCGCTGGATTAATATTCCTACTGTTTTGGGTAATATTACTATATATAGGATGTGCTGTTAGGATACTTACGGTCACCATGTGCGTTAGTTTGATGATGTCCCCGGAGTGAGTTCATGAAGAATTATTATGCTAAACCCTGCAGGTGGATTAAATTCCGCCATAATAAGAATGTGATGAACGAGTGCTAGCTTCGGTGAAATAATAATAATAAATTAATTAATTCTTGATTGTTAGTAATCGAATTAATTAATGGACATTATATCTTAAACGTGGAGAGATAAATCGAGTAATTTGGGCTAGGAAAAGGGAGTGCGATAATATAATGTTGGTGACCCATTAATATTATTTAATTAATTAGACGAGTGGACTTAGCCCACAGTTAGTCTATTTAATTAAGAAGCCCTATTCTTAATCTCCTAAGGGTCCCTACTGTAGCTCTATATATACATCATTAAGCTCATGAGAAAAGAGATAATCCCATTATACACAAAACACGCCGCGTCTCTCTCTTTCTCTCTATCTCCCAGTTCTCATTCGAGCTTTATCTTCTTCTTGTTGCTCCACTGGTATAAGTTGAATAAGGGTGTATTGAGTAATACAGTAGAAGATCCATAGGTAACCGAGACCAGTTAATCTTCTACAGCGATCAACGATCCACGAGCCTGCGCCCGAGGCCGCCGACCACCGACCAGCCATCCGCCATTGACCGCCGCGAGCTGCCAGCAACCGTCGATCGGCGATCTGCGATGAACCGGCGAAGGGAGGCGCGACCCGATCGGCTCATCCCCGCGACACGGCAGAGCTCGACCCACACGACCCGATTCGATTCACGCGTGCCCGAGACTTCTGTTCGTGTGATCCAACTTGTTCGTGTGTTGTGTACGGCCATCCGGAAGATCAACCAAATCACCATAAAATTTTAAGCCGTAAGTTTTCTACGTCAAACCTTTAGATCCGCTGCGCATAGGTTTACATTTGCTATTGAATTCATGATTTGTACATAACGAAATCCTCACAGATCCCAACAGGAGCAACATATAATTATGAATGTAACTGGAAAGGATTTTGCCTTCAGGGGGAGCAATAAAAAAATTCTGAAGATCGAGCCCGAAAGGACAATTTTAATCTTAAAGATTAGGCTCTGTTGGCCAGTGTTGTACTCTTTTTTCCTTAACTAAGTTTTTTCCCATTGGGTTTTACTTAATAAGGTTTTTAACGAGGTAGCAAATGTAACATATAAATTTGCATGTCATGTACTATTTTACTCGACTACTTTTTCCTACATGGTTTTATAACAACGTTTTTAATGAGGCATAGACATGATGCAGTAATGTTCAAGGGGGAGTGTTGTAAATATTAAGTTGTAGACATTACCTAGATATAGCACTCAAGTGAATGAATAAGATGAGAGTTTTTGCGGTAGTGTGTCATTCTCTTGTTCTTTCTGTGTTTTTTCTCTCTCTCTCTCTTTAGTTAGTGGCAATTTACCGTTAAAATTAAGTTCCCAAATTTAAATTGAAATTGTCTTTACTATATTAAATAAATAGATAGCCTTAATATATAGTAATAGATTATTAGTTATTATTGTTTAGTTTTATCTTTAACTTATAATTATTATTTAATATTATTTATTCATATATTGAAGAGCTATGCGCTACTATACGTGTAGTGTAATCCCCCTATATGTAAATTGAGAATGCGTTGAGCCTAAGTTGCAAACTCTCAAGCTTCAGAACCCTATTTGGCAAAAAACCATGTTTTAGAGTTAGACTTGTATATGAATTAATATTTTTTATCACATTAAATCCATGATTGATTTTTTTCTTCTTTACTTTTACAATTAGTTACCATAAATTATTTTATTTTTTATTATCCTACATTACCATACATTATATTTTATTTTCTTATTTAATCCATTCAGTTATTATAAATATTTCTTCTTCTTATTTTAAGATTTACATACTATAAAATAGTTATTTTATTTGAGAAAAAAATATATAACTAAGTATGAACATCAAATTAATATAAATAAATATTCTAAAAGTTTATGTCTCAACTTACATATAGACTACATAGAGATTGAACATTATAATGATCATGAAAAAAAAAACGTGATTATGAAAAATATCAAAGTTATTATTATACTTCATAATGTTTAAAATTCCCCTATATATAATTCTCGAATATGCTGAGCATAAGTGGCAGACTCGCGTGCTTTGGTTATTTATCATAATTCAATGCTTTGGATTGATACATGATTAGACTTGAGTATCATATCAAATGTCAATTAGGCATGGTTATTTTCATAATATATTAAATAATTTTCTATATTGAAAATCATTGTTTGTTCTATTCCATACTTTTGTCTTCCACAATTACCCTAATACTTTTTTTTTTGTTACATATTTTCACCAAATCAATCATATTAATTTATTTCTCAGCATTTCTCTCCAACATTCATATTTTACTCATTTCAAATATGAAATATATGATATTATTCATTTAAAAATAATATTTATTTCAAATCTAATTGGTATGTGTCAATCTAATAAAAATAAATAACATCATGACGGATACGACACTTGATGTATTAGACATCTAATTAAGTAATAAAATAACCTATTTTGATTAATATTAAACAAACATATTATATACTTATGCATATATATATATTACTATATTATTTCTATTTATTTAAGATATATATTTTTGTACTTATGTAATAGTAAATAATATTGATATTTTTATATTATATAAGTAAAAATATTCAATATGAGTTGACATTTTCATTTAATATACGGGTGTTTAATTATTATGATTAAAAAAATAGTTTGACAATTTACTTAAATTCAAAGTAATATTGTATATAAAATTAAATCATTTTAGTTTTTTTTTTTAAAATAATTAAAATAACTTTTTATATAAGCTTTCTAATTCAACACTTGTGTAATACACAAGTACTCCCTCCATTTTGAAATATAAGGCGTATAAAGATTTCTTAATTTTTTTGAAATATAAGGCGCGCTCAAAAATCAAGACAAATTTTTACATTTTTTTCCAAATATACCCTCATTGTGTTGAAATTAAGAAAGTGTGGAATGGTTGTGATTAGAGTAAATAAGGTTAATTTAGTCAATTTATTCATTAATTAATGTCTCCTTAATATTTGTGCAATAACCTTAAATGCCTTATATTTCAAAATGGAGGGAGTATTATATTAATATTTATTAATAATAAAAACGGAAACGATGTAGGTCCCAACTTTCATGACTCTACTTCCAAAAGACTTTTGTATTTAAAGCATATTTAAAGGTCAACTCTACCTCACTGTCTCGCACTCACCAAAATCAACTTTCGGACTTTGTCCTTTCCCCAATCAAACGGCCTATTACTTACTTTGACTTTTGCACCCCTATTTCCCAACGTCAATTCCACCCACCTGCTCGCTGGTCCCCACCACCTCTAATTTTAAACCTCGGTCAATGCTCTGAATGCCACGTGCATCAATATCATTGGCCCTCTTGTTTGACGGTGAGCCGGTCAGAGAGAGAAAGTGCACAATACATATATGTTTTTGACTCTCCCTCTTATCATCTCTCAAATTTTCTCCTCCTCTTTCTCTCTCTAATGGCGGTCGAGTTGATGCCTGGATACAACTTGGCGTCTAAAATGGAAGTGACCGACGCCCGTGAGGCGGGGGCCGCCGGCCTGAGGAGCGTCGAGAAACTCATCAGACTGTTTTCTCCGGCAGCCACCAACCAGATCGCCGCCGGAGACTACCGGGCAGCTGCCGACGCCGCTGTCTGCGAGTTCAAGAAATTCATCTCCCTCCTCGACCGGACCCCGCGCGCCGGCCACGCCCGGTTCCGCCGAGGACCGGTCTCGAACCCGGTTCCGGTTGCCGAACCGCCCGGTCCATCGGCCCCGGCCGTGAAAACCGAAGAGAGCGGCCACGGCTCCAGGACTCACTGCCCGGCGCCGGTGCAGGCGCAGGCGCAGCGGCTGCCGCCGCTGCCGGCGGCGAAAACAGGGCAGATCGAGCGGAGGGAGACGTCCACAACCATCAGCTTCGCGTCGCCGGCGGCTTCGTTCGTGTCGTCTCTGACGGCGGGGGGAACGGACAGCCTGCAGCCGTCGATGACGTCGTCGGGGTTCCAGATCACGAACCTATCGCAGGCGTCGTCCGCCGGCCGGCCGCCGCTGTCCACGTCGTCGTTCAAGAGGAAGTGCAGCTCCACGGACGACGCCGGCGGGAGCTGCGGCGGCGGGTCGTCCCGCTGCCACTGTCCTAAGAAAAGGTAAAAAAATATTCCACGGAAAATTACTTATGTCTTAATTAATACAATTAAAAGTGAATATGTTTTGTTTTGATTGAATTATTTATGTTGTTAATTGTTATTGTTAATTATTAATAAGTATAGGAAATCGAGGTTGAAGAAGGTAGTGAGAGTGCCGGCAATAAGCATGAAAATGGCAGATATTCCACCGGACGACTACTCTTGGAGAAAGTACGGTCAAAAGCCAATCAAGGGCTCACCACATCCTAGGTAACCTTTCTTTTTCTTTCTGCACCTTATCTTTCCTTTTTATTTTTTTTGTCAAAATTATACGCAATTTATAGGAAATATTTGATTTTAGGATTGGTTAAAAATTAAAATAGACCCCAAACGAAAAATCACGTTATAAAATTAATTGAGAATAAAAAATTTACATT